TAGCATACCACCAGATAACATGTATACATATAGTGTGTGTGTGTGTGTGTGTGTGTAGGTATATAGTATAGATGTGTTATATGTCCATATAATTTTCAGGGATGTATATGTATGTGTATACATGTATATGTATATAGGTATAGTATATGTATGTAAATAATATGTATAGTTTATAGTTACAGTGTGCATATATGTGTGTATATATAGTATATATATATATATATATAGTATGTGGCGAATGTACATAGTGTCTATATAGCAAATACATGTGTATGTAGCAAATACATGTGCATATAGTATGTATATGTAATATGTATGTGTGTATATATGCTATATATTATATGTATATTATAGTGCTATATATTTGCTATTAATTTCCAAGTTATTTCTGGGAGAGAAAAGCAATAACAAGTTAGGCAATTTGTTAGGAAGAGAAAATGTAGTTTCTTAAGAAAAAGAGAGAGGCTGGACAGTGGTGGCAAATACCTTTAATCCCAGCACCTGAGAGGCAGAGGCAGGCGGATCTCTGAGTTTGAATCCAACTTGGTCTGGTTTACAGAGTGGAGTTCCAGAACAATCATGACTACACAGAGAAACCCTGCCTTGAAAAACAACAAAACCCGAAGAGTAGAAGGGAGAGCTCACATCAGTCCTTATGGTGGTATTTTGTTTGTAATCTAACAAATAAAGCTTGCCTGAAGATCAGAGTGCAGAGCTAAGCCACTACTTAGCCAAAAACCTAGTTAAAAGTTTAGTCACTAGGTAGCCACACATAGCACTAAGCCACTAGTTAGCCATACTCCTAAGTCACCAGTTAGCCATAGAAGACAGCAATGGTGGCCACACCTTTGATCCCAGCATTTGGGACACAGAATTAGATGGATCTCTGTGAGTTCAAGGCCACCCTGGGCTACATGAAAGCAAATCAGTCTAAAAGAAAATTAGAGCTCACATGTTTGTTCTCAACACTTGGGATGACATCCCTTTAATCCCAGCACTAGAGAGGAATATCAGGCAGGAGCTCAGTGCAGTCTCAGGGCAGTGTGAGGTTTGTCACACTGAGGACAGGATCTTGCTTTTTTGGTCTTAGCCTTGGTAGAGGTTAAGAACTCTCTAATGGCTTGGCTGCTTTGCTTTTCTGATCTTCAGCTTGAACCCCAATATCTTTTCTCTCGGTTTTTATTATTCATGCTACAAATCCCTTTTGCATGTTTGACTTTTACCACCACCTGGTAACAACAGGTAAGATTAATGATTTACACATAGATGTTGATTACTGTTTGCAAGGTAGGTTGTAAGTGATTGTACTCATGTTTCATGTAAACACACTACAAGACAGGTGCTGTTGTCTGCAGTTTACAGATGATTAATCTTGAGACTTTGGCTAGTTAAGTATTTCCTAGAACAACTAACAGGAATTAGCATCCCCATTCTGTAGGCAGTGATCTTGAGACCTTGGCAAGTTAAGTAAGCATTTTCTGCAGAATTGATGGAGTAATGTCCTTATCTATAGGCAATTGCCATGTAATCCTGTAATCATTTTCTGCAGAAGTTAACAGGGAGTGTTTTGCAAACACAGGGCATTACAAGTCACCTATGTAGGTGCTGTGTTTGGCCAAGAGGAAGAGAAAACAGGAGAGTAAACAGGAGAGTTTGGAGCAGTGGGGTGGGGGGCAATCTTAGTGTGATGCTGTGTCCTGGGAAACACATTTGAACATCATAGTCTACTATCAACATCACTGCCTACTGTCAAGATGAGGAGTCCGAACTCAAAGGCTATTTCTTATACTTGTGATGGGGAACACCTGACAGAGCAACTTAAGGAGGAGAGGATTTCCTTTGACCCATTGTTAAGGATATGAACCCATCATAGTAGGGAAGGCATGTTGCTAGGACCTTGTCATAGGGGGCTGGAATTCACTAGTAAATATGGGAAGGGGATTTGTAAAGAATGTAGGGAGATGGCATGGGTGTGAAGCTAGGTAACCTTCTGGAAGGAAGGGATGCTGGCTTGCAATGTGGAAGGCCCACTGTGGTCCTATAATAAGTTCCACACACTCTTGAAACAGTGGCATCAACTGGGAAGCAGATGTTGAAAAAAAAAAAAAAAAAAACATGAGCCTGTGGTGATATTTCACAAGGAAACCATGGCATGGAGGGACTTGGTTTATCTCTGGGTCACAGGAGCCAGCATTTGGTCTCAGGCCTGTATTTTCCCCAGGGCTCTGTTGATACAGATGTGAGAAAAAAGGAACAGCACAGATGTTGAGGGTGCTTGCTTCCAAGAGAATGGCCGTGAGGAGCAAGGCTGGAGAGAGACAGGGGCAGGGCGGAGAGCGCCAGAAAATGAGGTGGCATGAGAGAGATTTAGTGGTGCATCACCAGAGAGGAGGAGAGAAGAGGGGAGAAGGATAAAATCAGACACAGTCTTCACAGAGTTTACGGTTGTCCATGTCGCCCTGCGTTGAGACCTGTCAGAGCCTGGTGTGCTCAACAGTGTGTATGCAATGAATACCATGGAACCCTCTCTCCCAGAATCTGTTAGTTGTCAATAGATCAGGAGTAAGTGGTCTGGTGAGCCAACCCCCTCCCATAACTGACATTAAAAACAAAAACTAGTAAATATGGGAAGGAGATTTACAAGGAATAAAAGGAGATGGCGTGGGTAGAAAGGAAATGAAGGAACAAGGAAGGGATTCATTATATACATATATGGAATTGTCAAAGAACCAACCTATACTTTATTCTTTGAGAATTTTGTACAGTGTGTTTTGCCCATACTCAACCCCTGAACTCCTCCCAGATCCATCCTCCCTTCTCTATCCACCTAACTTTGTGTCCTCTTTAATCCCCCACTCATCAAGTCCCATTTGTGTTGCTCATGTGTTCATGGATTTGTAGCCTTTCACTGGAGCATGGTCAACCTATCAGAGACTTTTTTAAAAATGAGAACTTAATATAAATAGTGTACTTACATCATTTCCACCTCTCCATCTTCTCACTCCAATTCTTCATCTCTCCCTCAAATATTTGACCTCTTCTTTAATACATAAATCTCTCACACACACCTACCTTAATGAGTCTATTTTATGTTGCTTGTATATACATGTGCTTAGGATGACCACTTGGAATTGATAGCCTGTTTGGTGCATCCTTGGAGAAGACTGCCTCTTCCTCGCAACAATTAATTAATAGCCTATAGTATTTCATCAAGGAATGGGGCTATGTGAAATTCCACCCCCCCCACGTTTACATATTAGCTAGAGTTTTCAGTATGCAGGCCTTGTTTGGGCAACCATTTCATGGAGATGTCATGAGTTACAATTTCCTCGTCATGTCTAAAAAGAACAAAATTTATTAATAGGAAGTATAATCTCAGTTCTGATGGACACTATAACATAGATAACACTATATTTCCACTTTACGTGTAAGTTATTATTATCCCAGAAACACTGGGTGGGGGAATTGAAAGTTTGAATACAACCTGAATACATATACAATGTTTTGAAAAACCACAGAAATCAGGGGAAGTGGGAGAACCTATGTGCCCTTTGAGGCAATTGAATGTAAGAAAACCTCATTAAAAAAACATAGCTTTAGCATGAGTGCTTATCCTTCTACCAATTTTTAATGTTGGATTTTGATCCCAAGAACAAGCATTTCAAGTAGGGCCCTTTTGATACAGTTTCCACATAGTTCTTTACCACACCCAAAGGGTACCAGCTTGCAACACAGATAAGAGCTAGAAGGTACCCTTCTCCTCTTCCTCCACCAGCTGAGCTTCCTTTAAATGCTCCACCCAGGCATTTCCCTGATAACTTGAAGCAACCCAAGACCTAGTACTGCGGTACATATTGTTGGTTGCCACTCTTTCCCACCTGTCTTTCCTCTGTGCTGGAAGTCTGTGGAGCATCCCCAGGGTCTGTAAGTACCAAAACCTTTTTACCAAACTTCCTCTTATATGTGTTTGTGTCACTGAAGCAACTGGGTTCTTGCTGGGGACAACAGCTACCAGTTCAATTGCTGGAGAAATTCAGATGGTACAGGGATGGCACAATTGATAAGTAGAATACAAGCAACCCCAGAACATTGAAATAAAGAGCAAATCTTGTGTTGGATTTGTGAATCATATCACCACTGATAGTCATTGGCAATAGCAACCCTCAACTGGTAGTTTCCTTCCCCAAAGCTAGTTTTGTCTGATGGGATTTGGCTCTTTTCATGAGTTCAGCCCACAGGATGGAGGAGTCTTTGGTAGATGAACATGTATGGGGAATATGTAGTAACTTCTACAAGGACTTGAAACACTTAACCCCTTTCTAGATTGGGTCAGGGCAAGGACAGGTCAGGAGTCACGGCTAGCTCTAGAATCCGCTGCTCTTCAATGGTTAGGGTATAATCACATGGAGCCTCCTCCCCAGTGTCCACCAGGGAGTCTGGTCTTTTGAGTCTTTAAGTTAAGGGTGGGGTATAGAGGGGGACAAACAGTGTGGGCTGTCCCCCAGGAAGGTAGTATGCGCCTGATATGCCTTTGTCCTCTGGCTTAGTCTCATCCTACCAGCAGCCATATCAATAACTCCGCTTTGAGTGAATCACTGCCCTCCTGGGCTGAGGAGTCAATGGCTGAAGAGACAAAAAACATTTGGCTCAAAGCCAGAGAACCTTCTAATAGGCTTCCAACAAGGACCAAATTGCTCTTTTCTGTGCCCCACCTCATTTTTATTAAATGGTTATTTGAATTCAATCTATGACATGACATTTATCAGATAATCACTACAAAGTAGGGCTGGACTGGAAGACTGACCTGCCTTAAGGAATAGTCACCTGGGTCCATTCCTGCAGAAACCACAGCTAGAATAAATACTGACCTCAGAACTGCCATCAACTCAGCACAAAGTGGGACGTGACTGTGCCACAGGAAAAAGTGACATTGAAAGTAGTTGAAGAATTTGGGAAGATGAACCCCGAAGAGTCTCCCAAATCACAACCGTCCAGTACAGATGAGTGGTGAGTCAGGGGTGTGATTTAACTTTTAGTGTCTTTATCACATTCATTTATGTGTGTGAAGGGTGTGCATGTGCCATGTTGTGTATGTGGCAGTCACAGACAACTTATGGGAGTAATTTCCTTCTCCCATGTGGGTCCCAGGAATCAAACTCAGATCATCAGGCTTGGAGACAAGTTCCTGTGGTGATATGTTATTTATGATTTATTAAAGCTTGCCTGATCAGGCAGTAGTGGTGCACACCTTTAATCCCAGGACTCGGGAGACAAAGGCAGATGGATCTCTCTGAGTTCAAGGCCACCCAGGGCTACACGGGATTGAATCAGTCTAAAAGAGCAACAGAGCTCACACCTTTAATTCCAGCACTAGAGAGGTATAAAAGATAGGGGCAGGGTCTTCAGTAGTCAGTCCCAGGATTCTCCAGCCACACTGAGGAGCGCATAGCAGTCTGGGATTACAGTCTGAGGTTTGATGGAGCCAGGATGGCCTTTCAGTCTGAGGTAGAGGTTAGAGTTAGTGGACAGCTGCTTTGCTTTTTCTGATCTGCAACTTGAATCTTGAACCCCAATATTTGTCTCTGGGTCTTTTATTATTTTACAAGTGCTATCAAATGACCCCCCCAAACAGGTGAAGTTTAGCTTTTTAACTACCTTTTTTTTTCCTTTTTCTTTCTTTCTTTTTTTTTTTTAAAGCTGGGGTAAAACACATAATATAAATTTACCATCTTGACCATCTGAAAATAAACACATTTAGTAGCAATTATCACATTTTCAGGGAAGGCCAGTGGCAACACTGTCTGATTTGTGGATGTTTTTATCATCCCCCAAAGGAGCCCCCAACCCATTAAGCATCTCTTTATGGTATCTCTCTCTCTCTTTCTTTTTCTCTCGTCTATTCATCCTCCGACTCAATCTTCCTAGTCCCATATATTTGGTATTTTGATTATTGTGTGGCAAGGGGATCTTTTTGTTTTGGTCCAGTCTGTTTGTTGTTCTGTAAGCTTCTGTACTTTCATAGGCATGTCCTTCTTTAGGTAATTCCTTTGTTTACTTACTGTAAAATTCCTGATGCTTTCTGTTTTTTTTTTATTTAATTTTATATAACAAAGTCCAATTATTGGTTGTTAGCTTGGATTGAGAAGTTATATCACTATTTTCTCTGGTTATAACAAAATACCCCAGCCTGTGTACTTTATGAAGAAGAAAGATTTGTTTAACTCAGAGCATTAGAAGATGAAAGTCCAAGATGAGGTGGCCTCATCTGTTCAACATCTGGTTTGGGTGTTCCCGGTTGCAACATAATGTGATGGAGAATCCATGTGCAGAAGGGGTATTGTCACAGATGGAAGGGCCTCACCTTATAAATACTTTGCACTCTCCAAAGCGACTTTGCCACAGCACAAATCCCTTCTAAGGCTGGTGCCTCCACCTTCAAATAGTCTGTCCTTTAAAAGGTCCCTCCCCATCAGCACCTCACACTGCGGACCAGCCTTCCAGTGCACGAGTGTCTGAGGAACACACTGAAACCATGTTCAGTCAGCAGCAGAAGTGAGCCCTCGCTGGACATGGGTCTATGCTCACCTCTCGGAGACAACAGCTCCCATCTGCCTAAACTACCTCCTGTACCCTACATTCTGACCTTAGGTTAGTCATGTTCTTTTCCTGGCTTTAGGTAACATCACAGATGAGGCCATGCAGAGCCGGGAGTTTCTGCATCTGGTGGATGCTGGTTTGGCCATCAACACCCCTTACCCACTTGTTCTGCCTCCAGCTCGTGAAGCCCACCTCATCCTCTCGTTTGACTTCAGTGCTGGGGACCCTCTAGAGGTAACTGAAAAGAAACGTATGTATTTGAGGGAAGGAGATGAGATGGCCCCGGGCAGAGATGGGGCTGGGCATGAAGGAACTCAGGGTCTGGTTGGGAAGTGGACATATGGGCAACTGTTGTCTGGGGGCACTATGGCGTGTACCCACACTCCACATCTTGCATAGACACACATAACGAGCATACATTTAAAAACTTTAAAGATACTTGCTGGTTGGCAAGATGGCTCAGCAGATAAAGGTGCTTGCTGCCAGCCTGAGTTCAATTCTCCAGATCTATATGGTCGATCTCATAAATTGTCTTCTGACGCCACATGAATATAGTAGCATACACATGTGCACACCTACACATGCACACACATACACTAAGTATATTTAGTATGGGTTTATATATCTTCTCTTTAAAATATATACACTTACATAATATGCATTTGTATCTCTAACACATTGCATACACACACACACACACACACACACACACACACACACACACACGTTTGATCAAACTCAGATCATCAGGCTTGATGGCAAATGCCTTTACCTTCTTATCCTTAATGCTGATGGGTGAAGATTTGTATTGCACATTTATGTTTCTTTTTGCTGGCTGTGATAGTTGGATCTGGAAGGTACCCCAGAAGTTAGGGACTTATCCCATGTGTTTGAGCTTGATCCTTAGGGCATAGAAATAGGGGAGTGTCAGAAGATTGAGGAGATGTGTCTAGTACAGTGGTTCTTAGCCCTCCTAATGCTATGATCCTTTAATACACTGGTGATCCCCAAGGACAAAATTATTTTCATTGCGACATCATAACTGCCATTTTGTTACTGTTATGAATCCTAATGTAAATGTCTGTGTTTTCCTATGGTCTTAGGTGACCCCTTTGAAAGTGTCATTCAAACCCTAGAGGTGTCTCTACCCATAGGTTGAGAAACACTGGTTTAGTTGGAGGTCCTTCGTTCGCTGGGCTCGTGCTCAATAAGGATAGCATGATCCTTTCTTCCTCTTTCTGCTGTCTGCCTTGTGAGATGAGCAGGTTTGCTCTGCCGTACAGGCCCACCAGGTTGCCAAGTGATCCTGGCCTGGAGCTTCCAAGCCTTGAGCCCCAATCCTTTTCTGTTTGTCAGCTGATTGTGTTGCGTGTTTCCTACACGCAGACTGGAAAGCAGACTGACTGACTTCCACGATAACCATTAGGCCATTTTAAAAGCACTTGTATGGCGGACTTTCCATTTCTGTTAACCTGTAATGGAAACTGGCTTTCTCTGTCACCATCCACCCCTCTCCCTCGGGGAGCAAATGAGGTCAGCTGGTTCTGAATATCTGTGCATGTCCCCTCACCTGAGCACATTGCCCTTCATACAGACCCCAAAGTTACTCTTTTTTTTAAAATTTTATTTAATTTTATATAACAGTCCAATTAAATGAAAACAAACATTTATACACAATATTTGGGAATTTGGGCGTCGTTCTTTCCAAACTACTTCCTGCTGGTAAGGGGCGCTGTCTTGGGGGATTCGAAGAAGATTCAGATATCCTGGCTGTAGTCTGTAGGGCTGTTTTGTCCAGCTGTCCCCAAAGTTACTCTTAAGCCTTGAAGAAACTATTCATTGCCCCACAGTGAATGGGAGATGTCTTAAGTACAAAACAAAACCATAAATGACCATGTCCTTTTGAGCCTCCTCCTGAGGTCTTTGCTGAGGTTCCAGTGTGTCTCAAGGCCCCCTATTTTCCCTTTCCCAGACCATCAGGGCCACAGCAGACTACTGCCAATGCCATGCAATCCCCTTCCCTGATGTGAGAGAGGAGCAGCTGAAGGAATGGGCCAAAGCCCCAGCGAGCTGCTACATCCTCAGAGGAGAAACTGGACCCGTCGTCATGCACTTTACTCTGTTCAACAAAGACAACTGTGGAGGTAGGTATGGGAGGAAAAGCCGGGCAAGGAGCCATGGATCTGGGCTTTGGGGGAGGGGGCCGGGAGGGCTGTATCTTAGGGATGCCTGGTCTACACTTCGACATTTAAGCTCGTCCTGTCCACCCTGGATCTCGAAAAGGGTGTCAGGTTTCGTGTTTATGTCTTGGACACTTCTGCCGGTTTCCTCCTTTTGTTGGGCTGTTCCTGTCCTAGATGGATGTCTGGCTCTTTCCACCTCAACCATTCATTATCTAGTCCTAGGTGAACAGCTCTAGCTGGGGCTCAGTGTGTAGCCTGGTCCTGCCAGTCTCAGTCCTGCAGTTTATCCCAATGGATTCCCCAGAACTCTCTACCACTCTGTCTTCGGAGTGGGGTTCCATATGAGGGATAAAGAATAAAGCCCGTCTTTTTTTTTTCTTTCTGTAGAGAGTGTATCACTTATATTGCCAAAGCTGGCTTTGAGCTCAGGATTCCCTTCCTTCAACCTTCCAAGTGCTGGCATTGCACATGTCCCCTTACCTGTTCCTTTCTACTGGCCTTTGTTTTGTTTTAAAGATTTATTTTTATAATTTTAGTTACGTGTGTGTGTGTTTGTCTGTGCACGTGAGTGAAGATGCCCAATGAGGATAGAGGCACTGGATTCTTTGGAGCTGCAGTTATAAATGGTTATTGATCATCTAACATGGGTGCTGGGAACAGAACTCTAGTCTACTGAAAGAGCAGTGTAAGTCTGCCTAGGCATTTCTACAGCCCGCTAAATTTATTTCTAAGGCAGAGTCTCGCTTGAAGCTTAGTCTTTTTATTTCTAAGGCAGAGTCCCACTATGAAGCTTAGTCTTTTTATTTCTAAGGCAGAGTCTCACTATGAAGCTTAGTCTTTGCTCAAATTCATAATCTTCCTACCTTGATCTCAGGTGTTACTGTGATAGGTATACGCTACCTTGCCCACTTATTTTCCCCTTCTTTTAATTTTTTGAGAAGACTTTTTGTTTTTATTTTATGTGTGTGGGTATTTTGTTTGCATCTGTGTATGTGCACCAAGTACAGCCTAATGCCCAAGAAAGCCAGAAGGAGGCATCTGATTTTCTGGAACTGGAATTACAGATGGTGTGAACCACCATGTGGGTTCTGGGAAATGAGCCTTTATTACTCCTAACTGCTGACTTCATCTCTCCAGACCCCTCTCTTTCTTTTTTCAAAACAAATCTTTATTAGCCACTTACATCAGCCATTGTTCCTGGCAATACATGTTAATATGAAAAAGGAGGCATTTTTTTTCTTCTTTGCATGGGTATGGAGAATAGATGGTAAGACACATGCTTTACTTCATAAAGTGATATACCAAGACTTCTTTATTTATAAAGTCAACCGTGCCAGCTGGATTTGGGCTACAAAAATAATTTACCAACCCTTGACCTAAATGGATAATCTAACTTGACAAATGTTTTTCTTGGTTTGGTTCTATTTCAGATGACATTGAGACATGAAGAAAACAATATGAGACAATAAAACTGTCTGACTCCTACACACCAGACCTGGTGACAGATTTGCTGAAGATATCCAAGGAGAATGTACAGAGAAACAAAGTTAATATCCTCAATGAGATGCAGAATGTGGCTGGGTGAGTTACAGGCTGTAGCAGCAGCTAGCTGCCCTACAGTTGCCCTGATCTCTTAGTTGGTTCTAAGGAATATCTGTTGCAGAGCTAACTTTCAGTACATTTGTGGGAGGATTGTGGGTGTGGTTGGCAATTGAGTGCCTGCCTAGAACTCTTCCAGTGAGGGGCTGGGGGTGTGGCTCAGTGGTAGAGCCCCTGCCTAGAATCCCCCAGTGAGGGGCTGGGGTGTGGCTCAGTGGTAGAGCCCCTGCCTAGAATCCCCCAGTGAGGGGTTGGGTGTACGGCTAAATAGTAGAGTATTGAGTCCACAGTCACTGCCCCTGGGCCCAGAAATGTCTGTCAGATGACGTTCAGAGCTTTCATTCCACTCTCAGGAAAACTGGCAACTTCCTAGGGATAAATGAGGAGGGCTTCCGGGGAGACACAGTGCAGGATGTCCAAAGCCCTCGGACTGTGGAGATCAAGATATCCAACCACACGGATATAACATTCAAGGAGCCCTTGTAAGTCTCATCCTTGTCTTGTCCTCCCAAGTCCTGTCCTGGATCATCCTGATGACTCATATGTCATCACTGGGCATCTCTGCAGGACCTTCCAGCTCAGAGAGAGGCTCAGTGTGTGATGGCAGATCAGATAGATGCAGTCAGTTTAAGCCTCAGCTTCTCCTCTATAAAGATTTCACATCATGTGTGCTAACCACAGGTTAAAGTAAGCTTATAAAGATCTTACTTTAAAAATAATATTTGTTTATCTTATATGTGTCAATATTTTGTCCTGCATGTATGCATGTGCACTGTGTGTGCAATGCCAGTGAAGGCTATACGAGGGCATCGGATCTCCTGGATCTGGAATGATTGTGAGCTGCCGTGTAATTGCTGGGAATTGAACCTGGGTCCTCTGAAAGAGCAGCAAGTGCTCTTAACTGTCAAGCCATCAATCTTACTTTAAAAAATATAATATTTTTGCTTTGAGAACTTAATATATGTATGATATATTTTGATTATATTTACTCTCCAAAACCTCCTCCAATTCTTTCCAGATCCCCCTCTAGACTTTATGTCCACTTTTTTTGATAACCCATTGAGTTCATATGATGCTACCTGTATGCAAATGGGCATGAGGTCATCCACTGGAGCTTGGTCTGCAGACCTACCAGGATGACATCCTTAAAGAAAATAGACTCTCTCTTTGCTAGAAGCTATCAGTTTTGTAAGTAGCTCCTCATGTAGGGATGCGTGCTTGGGTGCCCCTGCCCAACCCATTAGGGGCTGTGGATTGGCTTGCTCTTGTGCAGATAACCACAGTGGCAGCAGTCCTGTCCAGAATGATCTTAACCTTTGAAGACATGCTTGTCCTTCATCCTCTTGTGGTTTTCCTTTATCTGGAAGGAGTTGCCACTGGCTTGATGGTGGGACCTTCCTCCCCTAGTGTGGGCACCATGTCATGTGGCAGAGCTGGACATAGATTCTCACAGCTGCCTGTGGTCACAGGCAACGCACCTGGCTTTCTTGTTATCAAACACTTAAATTGTGCACGGGCAAATCAGGGAAAGAGTGCTACCCACGATGTTCGTGGGAACAGATTTCCATATAAAGGAAAACCACATTAAAAGGATCTGGAGTAGAATGACTTGAGTAAGTGGGAAGAAAGCCAGTAGTGGTGGTTCAGTGTGAAGGTGCAGAAAACACGGACTGAAATATGATGTGGATTCTGACAGGTATACTATTTGGTGGAGACTAAATCATTAACTTCTTGCCTGGATCTGAACGTTTGTCCCCAGCTTTGACATCATTAGATAAACAGATATTTACACAATAAGCATAGATGATAGGAACACTCCCTAGGCAGCAGAACTGAGATGAAATGTAGGTATTCTTGTGGAATAAGGAACTTTAATTTTTGAACAAAGCATGGTCTGTAGAGGCCTCCAGATCTTCACTTTTCTTCAACATGCAAGGCCACTTGCTTAGAACAACAGTGACTTGTAACTCCTCTTTCCCAGACACTACTTGAAGAGTGGGCATGTACGAGTGGACCCACCACCTGTGCTGTCTCCAAAGTCCACCATCAGCTGTTCCTTTGTGAAGAAGAGCTCCAGCTTCCAGGGTACTGTGGGCATACTGGTCTACCAGGGCCCAAGTGACCACCTGGCCTTGCTGTTCTCTGTTCCCTTCAACTATGCCCTTCATAGAATTGAGTTTGCCTTAGCCATCATAACTGAGCCAGTCTCCAGAAACCTGGAGAGTGTCTTTGATGACATCATTCAGGGAAATGGGTCTCCAGAGCTGAAAGCAGCAAAGTATGAACTTCAGATCCCTCAGGGGACCCTGAAGCTGGAACACGGCTCCTTGATCATCAGAGCCACGATGTCCAACATTCATGTGGCTAAAATGGATGTAGTGGTTGAGACCAAGGCTCCCTAAAAGTTTCCCTTGTTCATCCGTAACTACTCATTTTACACTTCCAGTCAGATTTCTTGGCTCTGTAAAAGGAGAGACTTCAGCTGAGTTCATAGCCCATCTCTGCAAAGCCAGAAAACTCTGAGAAGACAAATATTCTGTAAATTCTTGCTGCTTGACCAACAGATTGATGACACAGTTCTTAGTCCCTCTGCACCCTCCTGCATCCTGTGTCGTCCTTGATGTATCCTCTATTCTTCATTCCCTGCCATGCTGTTGTGGCTTTCCTCCCATACTTTCCCCCTGAACATCTTCCCTTCAATCTGCTGTAGATACCCATCTTTGGCGGTCTATCCTCCTTTCTGCTTGCCTGCTTTGTCTCCTTTATACCCCTTCCTCCTGTAAGTCAGTGGTCAAACTTGATGGCTCTGCATCTGATTTGGGTCTTGGTGCCACAGTTTGCTCACTGTAAGAGCACAGGCAAGTCCTTTTACATGTCAGCCTCACTTTCATCATTTGTGGAGGAGATAATGGGGTCTGTGTCCTGGCAGACCCATGAATGAAGCCCTAAGACCTTAGACTAGATCAGGTAAAGGCAAAGTTTTCAAGAGGCATTACTCATGATTTTTTCCCCAAGCCAATGTTTATTTCTTTTGGTTAAAACATTGTTATTTTAGATGGAATACAAGATGATTGGGTTTATCGTGGCTTTTTATAGTCGTAGGTAATTGTTAATATTTGTTCCCCATATCCTCCATTTGGCCCTTCTTCTCTCTCACATGGGTCTCCTCCTTCTCCTGTGCCATATGCGTATAAACATGTATTTTAGCCTAAATTCTGACATAAAAGAAGATATGAAGTCTTTGTCTTCTTTCCCTTTTGTCCTTCATCTCTTTGGACTCCTTTCCTTCCACCAAATTGTCCACCTTCCACTTTTACAGCATAATGATAGATAAGATAAAAATAAATAGGCAGATAGGCAGTAGATAGAGGTATATAGATAAGGTAGATAATTAGTAGATAGACACAAGGTAGATAGTTAAGATAATGATAAGAAGCTTATGCTTGCTAGTATGTTTCGATTTTATTCCCCTTCTTCAGAGTACATGTAGTCACACACACACACACACACACACACACACACACACCACACATAGGTATAACATAAGAATTTTAAAAATAGCATTCCAGTTTTCCTAAAGTAGGAACTTAAAATGTGCTGATATTTTAAATCGCTGTTAGTTGGACTATCTTTGAATAAAAGGATAACTTTGAGGAGAGATGACATATTTATATTTTTCTTGAAATTTATAAGCCTTGAGTTCTCACTTTCCTTTAGATCTTTCATCTCTCTGCAGTGTTTTCATGCTTATGTGTAGCTTCAACAGCTTTGAAACATCCGTTACTAAGTATTTGATGTTTCATGTTCTTATAAATAACAGGGCTCTATTTTATGTTCTAATTGAACTTTATTGATATGACAAAAGGATGCAATTCATGTTTTTTATTTTGGTTTTGCATTGTGTTATATTTTGGAATTCATATTTTAACTCCAAAGCTATCTGCAGGCCATTTTTGAATGTCTAAAGCACAGTAATATTATCCACAAGTAGTGGTAATTTTGTTTTGTTTTTTAATGCTTAACTTTTTTACTGTGTCACATTTTGTTGACTAAAACCACCACGATAATGCTGTGCTTTATCTAATTTTAATTTTTTTCTTATTCATATTACAAACACTGCTTACTGATCAATTTTAATGCTGTGTGACTATGTTATAATTTACATACATCCTAAATTTGGAAACTTTTTATTGTTATGGCTTGAAAGTTAGTAACTATTCAGTTTTAACTAAGTACTCATCATTTTCTCCTCTTCATAAAGGTCATCCAACTAAATAAGTTAAGTTTTTCTATAAAATTCCTGGTTTTATAATTTATTTCTCTATAAAATGTTAGGAATAAAATTTGTCAGCTTTTTTAAGTTTCTGGAAAAAAAGATAGATGATAAGTAGATAACAGAATAATGATAGCAGGTAGATAACTAGATAGCTATTACACTTAGGAAGGAAAACATGATAGTTGTCTTTTTAAGGCTGGGTTATTTTGCTTAACACGATGGGCTCCAGGTCTGTCCATTTTCCTACAGTCTAACTTCACTCTTCTTGATGGCTCAATAAATGTTAAAGACCTCTATGAGTTGAGTTGTTTATTTCTCCCCAAAAGTCGGTGTTGTACCTCATGTGCTTGTAGATATGACATTAAAAGGAAATGTGGAATTTGCAGATGAGAATAAGTTAAGATGAGTTGATTAGGCTGGGTCCTTACAGAAAGAGAATTTGAACATAGACATACAAATACATGGCTGTGAGACCATGAAGGAAGAGGCCGCCATGATGCACACACGAGGCAAGGAGTACCAGTGAATGATCAGTTGTCACAACACAACATCTGTGGTAAAAGGGGGGCCTCAGAATCCTGTGTTGCACTGTCTATGTCTACTTGGTCTCCTCCAAGTTCAGTGAGGTTCTCAATCTTTCCTTTACTGTGACCTTGGCATTTTGAAGGGGTCAGAGAGCTGCCTATGATTGCATTCAGGGAAATCATAAAAGCGATGGATGCTGTGTCATACAAAAAAATGTGTGCATGTGTGTGCATGGGAGTGTGTGCCTGTGCATGTGATTGCAGAGTCCAGAGGTGGAATCTGGCATTCTGCTCTATCAGTATTCACCTTATTCATTTGAGACAGGGTCTGTCAACTGAACTTGGAGCCAGGCTGGTGGCCTGCAAGCAGAGATCCTCCTATCTCTGTGTTCCCACAGCACTGGGCTCATAAACACTCATGAGGCCATGCCTACCTTTTTGTGGGAGTGCTGAGATTACGCTTGCACAGCAACTGTTCTTGCCACTGAGCCATCTCTTCATCTCACTGTTCTTTTTGCAACTTATCAGGAGATACATCATTCTGATTTGTTAAATCATTCAGGACCTTCATTTTGATCACTTACGATGTGCCCACCAGAGATTTTCACATTTACAAATAATTTTCAAATTTACCAGCACATTTATGGAATTCCATGGTGCTGAATTCTGGCATGTTCCATGACTGAGTAATCCCTTGCTTTCTGGCATAAAATGCTTCAGGCTTCCATAGTACATTTCCTTTTCTGAACATAGATCCAACCACTGTTCAAGGGCCTTGGTTCCTTTCAGTAGATAATAGTATTTGGATGTTACATCACAGCCACTGGAAAGCAAACTGGAATAGGTAGGTCACATGATATGGAGCTTTTCCACCTTCTCCAAAAACCTATTAAATAGAGAAACTCCCTTTGCTCTTAGGATCTGAAGGGAGCAGAGGGACCTAGAGATTCCCACATCCACTCCAGGGCCCCTCATAGTTAACTATAACTGTGATGCTATCTTTCCTATTGAGGACTCCATCATGGCAACCTATAGCCATGAGCCCATTCTTCTCCTAATAAAGCCTCTTTGAAGGATAATATCATACCTATTCCTTTCCTTGAATCTGCATCATTCCTAATAGCTCCTAGTTTCCTTAATTCTCACACACAACCATTCTGTGTTCTCCATTGTCTTTCTACCCCTGTGGAGACACTCTTTGCACCATAGTCTAGAATTAACACTCAATGTCATGCTACCTCCATGAGTAGGCATTCTTCAGACTGTGGTGGGCCATAATATCCTATGCATAATTTATATAGGTAGAATCCCTCCTAGGTGACTACCTACAAGCCATACCCTGGGTGTTGCCTTCACATCACTTGCCATCTCATTTCCGGGGCCCTGTACTAGTCTTTTTTCCATTACTTTTACAGTGTGCCTGAAGATAGGAACTGAGTGGAGAAAATATGCTTACATAGCTCAAATTTTGGATGTTCAAAGGCATGGTACTGGTATTGGCTTGGCATTGGTGAGAACATCCTTGGTTGTTTTACCTGGTAGAGAAGATGATGGAAGGAGAATGGATAAGAGAGATAGAGTGAGATAGAAGGAGATAAAGAGAGACACACAGTGAGACGCAGAGAGACAGAGAGAGATAACACAGCGAGAACAGAGCCAAGGGAGGGTCAGGCTCCTTATATTTTTGAAGTAATAGTTCTCTTTCTGAAGGAGCTAAATGGGTTGGTTGTCTTGAGAAATACATCAGTCCCATAAAGACTTCCCATTGATGACCAAGTTCTCTCAACCCTTTGGGAACATTGGAATCATGCCCAAACCATAATATCTTCTGTACTCATGTGGGGAATCCCCTCACCTCATTTAATCTGGGAGCTCTGGCTTTTCATGCTCTATGGCTTCTACCCAACATGTACGGTGTTCTCACCACTTTTGGGCTCTGATACTGATAAGACTTCTCACCCTCCTTACATGATCAACTTTGCTCCCACTCCTGAAGCTTCCAGAGGAACAAGGGAGTAGATGAGCTGACGGTGAGTGCCATGCCCTTCATTGTAACACACACACACACACACACACACACACACACGCACGCACGCACGCACGCACGCACGCACGCACGCACGCACGCACACACAAAGACCCAGAGACATGTTGGGGGTCAAACTTAAAGCTGAACATCAGAGAAGCAAAACAGCCAAGCCAGTCGATCTTACTTCTACCCAACTGAAATGGCAACCCTGTCTCCATGAATCCTCAGAGGCAAAAAGCTCTCAGTTCCTGTCTCCTCCTCCTCCTTTTATTCCTTTCTCTGCCCAGCCATAACTTAACTCCTGTCTCTACATCCCTAGTACTGGGATTAAAGGCATGTGATCCTATGTGCTGAGATCATCTCTATGCGAGCTGTTTCTCTTAAGACTGGGTCAATTTCGTATGGTCAGTGTGGTCATGAACTAACAGAGATCCATCTACCTCTGAATCCTGAGTCCTGGGATTAAAGATATGTTTCACTACCACCTGGCTTCTATAGCTAACTAGTATGGCTGCTTTGCTATCTTGATCTCCAGTGGCTTTAATAAATCATAAACCATATACTGCCTCACTTCATCTTACACATATTCACTTCTTAGAGCCTAGTGTAGCAGTTTTTTTTTCTGGAGGAAGAAAGGATGCCTGTAAGACTCAGAAAGTTATCAAACCATATGAGGCTCAGGGAGCTCATGAAACTTAGGAGACTAAGGCATCTCAGACCATTATGTGATTCACAAGATCCCTCTCAAAGGTTATATAAGCAACCTTTAGAGGTGAAGTCATGTCTGAGTCAGGGTGTCTATTTCTGTGACAAGACATCACCATGGCAACTCTTTTTGTTTTGTTTTTTTTTTCTTTGTATTTTTGAGACAGGGTTTCTCAAAAATACTGTTACAAAGTCTGGGAACTCACTTTCTAGACCAGGCTGGACTTGAACTCACAGAGCTTTGCTTGCCTACACCTCCCGAGTGCTGGTTAAAGGTGTGCCCCTCCACTGCTCAGCAACCACAGCAACTTTTATAAAGGAAAATATTTAATTTTGGTGGCTTGCTTATTGGTGGGACATGGCAGATTGCAGGCAGACATGGTGGTTGAGATGCAGCTTAGAGTTCTACATCTTGCAGGTAATAGTTGCTGGGTCTGGGGTCTCACAGTGATGGGGTCAGACCACCAAAGTCTATTAAACCAGACACAAACTTTATTCCAGGAAAAGGAAAGAAAAAAAAATCTCTGTGGGGCACAAAAGCTTATCAGCGATAGCTGTGACCACAGCAGAGTTTGGGCTTCTGAAACTGTGGCAATGGGGGGTTGGGTTTGGGCCTCTTCTTATAGTGAAACCAAGCACCAGGTGTGGGGCAAAGAGCTTTTACAACCTTGAGGTCAGGCTTAAAGTCACATTAAAGTTTTACAACCTTTAGTTGTAGGATGTTAGGATGTTAACTTAAAATGTTTGTAAAAGCTGGTGGATGATACAGCTGTTTTTCACTGACCCTGAAAGAGTGCAAGGCAGAGAGTGGAGTCACATAGGAGAACAGTTAAACATTAAGGGAACACAACACGGAGGACCCCATAGAGCCAATAGTTAAAAGCTAACCTGCCTAGCTGGGAAGCTGGGAAGCAGGAAACAATAGTTAAAAGTTTACCTCTGTACACAGTGACTGCCAGGATGTCTGCTCTTAGGCAGAAAGTGGTTGTTAAAGTTAACAGTGGCTGCCGGCTTTATTTTTTTTCCCCAAACGTGTTTGGGCTTACAATTTTTTGTTTCTATATTCTTGGACCCTTCATTTCTGTATCCCTGTTTCTGGACCCTTTCACAGGTCTGTTCCTCTGGGCATGACTTACATATGAAACTTCAAAGCCTGCTTCCACAGTGTGTCCTTCCTCCAACAAGACCTCACTTGCTTCAGCAAGGCCACACCTTCTAATAGTACCTGTCCCTTTTGGGGCCATTTCCTACCAAACCATCACATTCCACTCTCTGGCTTCCAAAGGCTTATAGCCATAATACAAAGATGCATTCAGTCCAATTTCAAAAGCCCCAAATTTATTTAAAAGTCCAATGTTCAAAGTCTCTTCTGAGATTCATGAAGTGTCTCAACTGTAATCCCCTATAACATCAAGATAGAAAAGGAAAGAGTCCAAGAATAAGGATATAGAAATGTAGTTCCAGAAATAGGAATGTAGAAACATAGAAACGCAAAGGTATAAGCACAAGAGAAGGAAGAGACTGTCAGCAGCTTCCTCAGCAGCTTAAGGGTTATCTATTAACAGAGGGTTCTTTACAACTGACTGATGGTTCTGTCTGAAAGGCTAAAAATGGCCCTCTGCAAACTAATGGTCTTTCTGCAAACTGAGAGTCGGCTTTTAGATAACCCCCCGACCACTCATGGCCAGAAAATTGATGTGAACTGAGTTAACTTTATTATTATTATTATTATTATTAAATTATTTTATGTATCAACCCCAGTTCCCTCTCCCTCCCTCTCTCCCTCCTATGACCCCCTCCCACCCTTCCATCCTATCCCCCCCAACTCCACAGGGAGGGTGATGCCTTCCAGGAGGGATCACCAAAATCTGTCAAGTCATTTGGAGTAGGGAGTTAACTTTTAAATGATGGGATGTGTGTAACTTTTCCCTGTGCATTGCTCCATACTCCTCCCAACTGCACAACCCTGGCTGCGTCGGGGGCTAGAGTATTGCTATGATAGCACGGATGATGTTTTTGCTTAAAGAAATTTGGACTTTGGTACTTTGGGTTAAGCACTGCTTAATGGGCCATACCAGCAGAAGCATGGAAGACAGCGGTGATAAACGGATCTGATAAACTGTGGGTGTCTGACTCAAGAGGTTTCAGAGGGAAAAAAAAAGAATATTAATATGAGACCTAGATAGAGAACATTCTTGGGATATTTTGGTGAAGAAAGTAGTTGCTTTTTGCCCTTGTCCAAACAGTGTGCCTGAGGCTAAAGTGGAGTCCAAATTTCTTTAAACAAAAACACGGTCAGTTCTATCATAGCAATACTCTAGTTCCTGATGCCAACTTTTGTGTTAATCAGGGTTTCTATTTCTGTGAAGAGAAACTGACCATGGCAACTCTTATAAAGGAAAATATTTAATTGTCATCGCTTGCTTATGATTTGGAGGTTCAGTCAGGATAGGGTGGCGTGCAGGCAGACATGGTAGCTGAGAACCCATCTTCCAGGAAACAGGAAATAGTCTCTTTGGACGTGACATAAGTATATATGAGTCCTCAAAGCCTGCCTCCACAGTCGACACACTTCCTCTAACAGGGTCACATCTCCTGATATTACCATTCCCTTTGGGGGAATTTTCTTTTAAACCATCACAGAGCACTCTTCAGTGGAAGTGCATGCAAGTTGTGTAGGGATTTTCTTGCATGTGGCATTCGTGAATCATTAACCATGCTCGATGGGCTTTTCGGTGGTACAGCTACACCTGGTTGGTAAGCTATCATTCACACCACTGGTTCACCAAGTCAGGCTTGGGTGGAATCCTTTCTTTGGTTGGCTGCTTGTGCCTTATCTTAGGGAGAATAGACGCGTATTCATGTCTTTGTCAGAGATCACACATACATTATATCAGGTGTTTTTTTTATTTTTTATGTATTCTTTGGCAATTTCATTTATGTATATTACATATATTGAGTATATTCATGTTGTTGGAGTTTTTCTTGTCCTGCCGAGTCCTGCTGCTGCTTCCAGCCCTAAATGAACACAGAAAGACTTATATTAATTATTAAACTGTTGGCTGTTGTCTAGGGCTTCTTACTGGCTTGCTTTGCCTCAATTATTAACCAATTTCTATAAATCTATGCATTTCCACGTGGTCTTGGATTACTGGAGAATGCTTGGACCTGTTAGTTCTTTGGCGGCTACACATGTCCTCTGTCTCTGGCGGGCTCTCTCCATTTACCTTCCCCAGAATTCTCCTTGTCCTCTAGTCCTGCCTATCTTCCTGCTTCATTGGCCAAACAGAGTTTTATTAATCAACCAATAAGGGAAACATATATGCAGAAGGACATCCCCCATCATATCCACACCCAATTTCCCCTTGCTACTTTTGCTGGACAACTCTCTCCCTCTCTCAAAATCCACTGCTAACTGATCTTGTTGACTTCATATTGTGCAAATAACCATAGCAGCAGTAAGTGTGTGAGTGCAATGGCCATGCCATCCATATCCACAGGACAGTGGACACAGGCTTACATTCTCTCAACCCCCAACTCCTTAATGTTGCCTGTGCTGTGAGGAAGGGGTTGTTAGCGATGTCCCATTTAGTGCTGATCACTCAACAGGCATTTATTCTCAGCAGTGTGACCAGTTATTGTATCTGTATTAACAGCTGCCTACTGCAGAGAGAGGCTTTGCTAGTCAAAGTCAAGTGCAGCACTACGTATTTAGAAGGTAGTTTGGCAACATACCTATTTAGCAAAGATAGGCTCCCTGTAAAGCCTTCTGGTATCAAGGGTTCTTGCATCCCCTCCTTTGAACACATGACTGATTTATGAAATCCCAATCTATTCTTTCCATCTTTGGCTCACCAAAGGTCAGGGTTAATGTTCAAAATGCTTGTTGGAACAGTAAATGAGTGGGAGCTTCACTCTAATCCCCATTTCAAAATGCACTATCCAATTCCATTCTGGGGATAATTCCATTCAGAGGCTCTCCCTTCCCATCTCACTTCATCCAGATGGGGGAGGTAGGGAGAGCTCCTATCCCTACACTTTCTGATTAGAGATTTCCCATGAGCTGTCACACATCTGTCACAGTGACTGAGGGAGAGGCCAAGAGAGGCAGGAAGAATTGGCAAAGGACTGAGACAATCAGGAAGTTGGATTGCCTGCTGCGGGGGAGCAGGAAGGAGGGGCCATCTTGACATCAGAGCTTGGTGAACTTTATCTGCCCCCATGCAGTTTCCCATGGGCCCTGCCTGCATCTTCTTGAGGAAAGGCATTGCTGAGAAGCAGCGGGTGAGGTGGGAATGATGCAGGAGGTGTCAGGAAGAGCAAGGGGACCTGGGGGCATCGGGGGAAGTGGTATGAAAGTGCTGAGGATCAAGGGGAGCAGCTGGAGAGAGCATGAACTGAGTCCAGGTAGCACTGTGTGGGCACAAAGAGCAGCAATCAGAAGCCAGGAGCAAAGGGTGGAGTGAGAGAAATATAAAAGGGAGATGGGATGGAGCCATTGCTGTTAACGTCATTGTTTTATATGGGAAGTCATACTGTGATGGTGGCGATGATAATAATAGATGGTGCTGCTGATGGTGGTGATGACAATGGTGATAGTGATGGTGGTGGTGCTGCTGCTTCTGATGGTGGTGATGGTGTTGATGATGCTGATGATGGTATTAACAATAGCTACTGCTCACTGAGTCTTGCTGTGTGCCTAGTCCTATGCAAAAGGGTTTACATGCTTGATAGCATTCAGTCCTCAGAACATCACATGAGGTTGGGTATGATTACATTCCTGTTTTATGAGTGAGCAAACAGACCGTTAAATCATGAAGTATTTTGTTTTAAGTCTATATAGTTAATGAGTGGCACAATTGTATTTGTTTACTTATTCGGTCCTGTTTGCTTCTTAGGAACATGTTCTTCATTGCAAGGCTATAAAGTCACCAGACGGGGGAAGAAAAGAAAGGAGAGAGTAGGGAGGGAAGGGAGAAGATGGGAGGGAAGAGAAGAGGAGGGGACACGGGTCAAGATGGGGCAAGGCAGAGCAGGGAAGAGAAACCAGGAGAAAGGAAGTGAAGGGAAGATAGGGGAGGGGAGAGGGAAGAGAGGAGGGGAGGTGAGAGATTGTATGGGAAGAAAAGAAGAAAGATAATCCAAAGTGAGGAGATCTCCAGTTAGAAGGCTGATAAGGAACAAATTCCCAGGCACTGCGCCTGCTAACCAAGCGTACTCATGTGTAGGGAACAGTTCTCAGATGTGAGACTGACACTGAATACTCTTCATGAACCACTCTGAACACTTGTTTCTCACACCCTGGGAACGAGGATGGAGGTGCAGGAATCAGTGGGATGTAGCAGAAGGAATTTGGCACGGGAGTCAGGAGTCCTACTGTCTAGTCCTAGCCCCGTGTCTGACCTCTGAGTGACCTCTAAAGAGTATGCATGCCGTAAAGCAGAAGAGGGTATTACTTCAGGGAAGAAATGGACTGGGAAGAGAGGAACATATGCTAGATGTGGTCGTGATGCCTAAGACAGCAGAGGACAATGATACAGACGTGTGACAACATTGCAGTGCAAACCCATTTCTTTGTTAACAAAAAGGATGAAGTGGCTGAGTATGCATCTTAGCTGGCAGAGTTTATCTTATACATATGAGGCTCTGGGTTCAATCCCCAGTTCCATATAAAGTGTGCGTTGTATGATGTTACTATAATCCCAGTGCCTGGGAGATGGAGGCAGGAGGATCAGAAAAGTTCAGTCATTGTTGGAGACTAGCCTGGGCTACATGAGACTCTTTCTCAATCAGTAAACAATAGAATAAATCCATAAGGGCCAGTGAGAATGTTCAGCAGGTAAAGGCACCTGTTTCTAAGTCTGACGACCTGAGTTCTGTCCCTAGAATGGTAGAAGGAAAGAACTAACTGCCTTGAATTGCTCTTTGACTCCTCACAAGTACTTGGCAAGTGCTTACATTTCTATTTATGAACTGCATGACCTTTGGTAGGCTCATTGATATCTCCATTCTTCAGCTTCTCATGAGTAAAATTAGAATATTTGAGTCTACCACACTAACATGGTCCTGAGGTTTAAACACAATGAAAGGACTGAACACAGACATCCCTCTGAACACAGTAGATGAGGCATATTGCGTTTTCATCATCTGGAGAAGAGGTTCTAACTCCCTCATGTTTAGGACTGATAGTCAGAGATTAAGATGGGAGACGGGAAATGAGAGGGGATGGGAGAAAAGGGTGGTCAGCGAAGAGCTGGGGATGGGAGGTGAAGATGGAAGGAGGAAGATTAAGAAGGACCAGAAAGCTTGATAGAACAATGGGCTTGTTTGGGGAAGTGGGACTTTTCCAATGTCCTCTCCTTGTGTTGTGTTCCTTTCAGGAGAGACCACTGGGACAGGACGAGATTGATGGTAACCCCTTGCTCAGACGCCCTTCCACGCTAGCTACCATTGCTGTCCCCTCCTCCATTTTTGTGTAAATCCTTTCATGTGAGGATTCCTTTCCCCCTCCTCCCTGCTAAGTGCAATTTGCATAGCTCATTTGGTGTCATTTTGGGTTCTGTTTCCCAAGTGTTGACAGTGTGTCTTCTCATTTGCACAGGTCTGCGAAACTCAGAAATGATGCAAGTTTTAGAGTGATTTAAAAAACATTGCTGTTTTTCTTTCAGTGCTCTTGGGGGCCATCTTCTCACTAGCATGCTTTATGTATCCCTGCTTTTTTTATTTAAGTCATTTAGTTCATTACACATATTCTTTGTAGACTCTCTAGTTATGTCTTATTGATAGTTTCCAGAGAGAGCAGTCTTCACCACTGACTGTTTCAAGTTGCTCTATAGCTCATCTTCTTTAATTTTTAGAGCTCCGGGAAGCATTTCTTGAATTTGACAAGGACCGAGATGGATTCATCTCTTACAAGGATTTGGGCAATCTCATGAGGACAATGGGTTACATGCCTACGGAGATGGAGTTGACTGAGTTGGGCCAGCAAATCCGGATGAACCGTGAGGGCAGGGGTCTGGGACATGCTGGAGTTAGGACAGGGTGGGAGTTCAGGTGTTCAGGTTGAGAGTAGCACTTTAAATAAGAAGTTCGTTAAGGGGAAAGAAATGTCTTCCAGAAGGCACCTCGGACTGTGCTTCTTTAGAAGTGGTTAGGAAGAGGACTATTTTTTAAAAAAAATTAATTTATTATTTTACATGTCGATCCCAGTTCTCCCTCCCTGTCTCCCTCCCTCCCTGTTTCCCTCTCTCCCTCCCTCCCTGCCTGCCTCCCTTTTACCCTCTCTGCTCCCTCACAGATCTAGATACCAGTTGCATCTTTTATTATTAAAAATGTTAAAGATTTAAAAAATCATGTGTATGAATTTTTGCCTGTGCACCAAGTATGTGCCTGGCACCTGCAGAAGCCAGAAGAGGGTATCAGATTCCCTGGAACTGGGGTTACATACACTCATGAGCTGCTAGGTGGGGTCTAAAAACTAAACCCAGGCCCTCTGTAGGATAATAGCCAAGCCTGTCCAGCTTCCCACTTTAAATTTTCAAATTGCATTTATATATTTTGTGTGTTGATGGAGGAGGGGGTACATGTGACTGTCACAGCAGCTGTGTGACAGAGGACAATTTGCAGGAGTCTGCTCTGTCCTTTTACCATGTGGGTCCTGGGGCTCAAACTCGATGTTGTTAAGCTGGGCAGCTGGTACTTTTTACCTGCCAAGCCATCTCCCTGGCTCATGAGTTCCACTTTCATTACTCATTGTGGTCATTTTGAACAGTGGAATATTTCTGGCCCTTGTCTGCTGTTTCCATATCTGCAGGTTCAAGCAAGTGCCAACAGAAAATATTTAGAAAGGAACTGTGTCTGTACTAAATATTTTCTGCCTCTCCTTGTTTCCCAAACAATACAGCATAGCCATTATTCACAGAGCATTTCAGTGTAGCAGATAACTGACAATCTAGAGGCGACTACAGCATATGGGAGACTTCATGTGCAGTATACACATATTGCGACACTTATGGTAGGGACTTGAGCATCAGCGTGCTTTGGTATGCCATGGATGTCCTAGTATCAGTTTTCAGGGGATGCAAAGGGATGGCTGTCATCTTACCTGAAAGGGACTGGTCCACATTTCTTCTATTGATCTATAGATGGGGTGTGAATAAATCTTAAATCAGTAAGAGATTTGCTGAGTGAGTCTGGCCAGATGACTCCTTGGTTAAGAACGTCTACTGCTCTTTCAGAGACCCTAAGTTCAGATCCCATCACCCTTGTTGGGCAACTTATAGCCATCTGTAGCTCCACCTGCAGGGGACTCCGATGCCTGCTTCTGGTCTCTGTGAGCATTGCACTCATGTGCACACACACACACAGAGTTTAAAATGATTAAAATTAAAGAGATTTGCTGAAGATCACCCAGGTATACCTACATCCTTTGTCTAATAAGTTTGTTCACATTAGAGCAACCTAAGGGCTTGACTTGGTTGAGAAGAGGAAGAGAGTCAAAATCCTTAGCATGCAGGAAGATGGGAGCTGATTTATTTCTGACTTGAATGGGAGAATGTGGGATAGAAGCTCAGAGCCTATGGAATCTTTGCCAACCATGCTCCTTCTTCCTCAGTCGGTGGCCGTGTAGACTTTGAAGACTTTGTGGAGCTGATGACCCCCAAATTACTTGCAGAGACAGCAGGGATGATTGGTGTCCAGGAGATGCGAGATGCCTTCAAGGAGGTGAGTTAATAACTCTATAATGCTGAGAAAGAGGGGAGGGAGACCCCAGGGGGCTAGTTTTATTAGTTTACACCATGGGTATTGCCCCACCAAAATCAGCTAGTTGTGATTAGACACAGAGGGAAGGAGAATCACTTTCCAAAACACTTGGCAATATGTAGTCATCTTATTTGACCAGGACATACACTATTAAAAGTAAGCACTCATGTGTTCCCGTTGTACATATGAAGAAACTGAGGATCAAGGATTGCAAATGATACCCAATACCCCGTGTTCCCTAAATGCTGGGGCCTATAATCTTGATTGCTGCAACAGGAAGGAAGAATCTGATATTTCCAGAATGGCAGAGTTGTTCTAGGAAAGGAAGCTTCAAGTACAGATGCAGTAGGATAGGAAGATGTTTGTTGACCAAGTGCTGGACAGAACAAGAAATGGACCAGATCTCCAGGATCTGGGGGCGTGGCCCAATGGTCTAGCACTTGTGTAGAATCCCCCAGTGAGGGGCTGCAGATAAGGCTCAGTGGTAGAGCCTCTATAGAATCACCCAGTGAGGGTTTTGCAGTAGAATACTGCTTTAGTGTATGCAAGGCCTTGGTCTCTCTTTGGCTTTCATGTCACATGTATTCTATTATCCTCTTCCCTCTTCCTCCCTCCCTTAGATTCTCTTCTTCCCCTCTTATTGTCTGCTTTCTAGTGTCATGGACTACACATGCATACTCATACATACTCAAATTTAAATATGTGTTCCGTGTATAAGAGAGAATATCTGATTTTTTTTGTCTTTCTTCATTTGACTTATTTTGTTTTAACACAATAGTTTCCAGTACCATCCACCTACTTGCAAATGCCATAATTAAAATTTTTGTTATGGCTGAATAAAACTGTCAAAGAATAAATAAAATTATTCTATTAAATATACTAACTATAATATTCTATTAAATAAAATTATAGTATTATGATACACATAATAATTTATAAAAATATAGTGATATATGATAATAATAAAATTCATGGGGCCAGTAAGATAGTTCAGTGGGTAAAGGCACTTGCTGGCAAGCCTGATGAACTGAGTTCATTTCCCCAGGACTCACACAATGGAAGGAGAGAACCAATTCCTGCAAGTTATCCTCTGACCTTCACAGGTGTACCATGGCATGCATGTACCCATACACACACACACACACACACACACACACACACACACACACACACACAAACAATGTAATGATTTGTTTAAAGACAAAGAAAACAAACAAAAGATAAGGAGAACTAGGAAGCTCCTGGCCATGATGGATATATCTGCCACAATAGTTGTGATGATGATTCCATGAATCTATGCGTATGTCTAAACTTTCCAGCTGTGTCCATTATACCTACATAGCTCTTTGTGTATCAGTTACACACCAATAAAGATGTTAAAATGATGTAGATGAAATTTTAAAAGAAGACCTATAAATAAAAAAAATGAAAAAAATGTAAAAGGTGGGTGGGTGGAAAGCCCTGTTCTTGAGGAGCCAACACTCCATTGGATGACATGTCCTCAATACTTAGTTTGGTTCTTAACCTCCAGTGAACGTCCTGGAACCCTGACCTTCCCTGAGGCTGTAATCTAGCCTCGCTAAAGCTAATCTAGCTTCATTGCTCCTGTTTAGTTTGATGCCAATGGAGATGGAGAGATCACACTGGCCGAGCTGCAGCAGGCCATGCAGAGGCTGCTGGGGGAGAAGCTCACACCTAGGGAGATTTCGGAGGTGGTCCAGGAGGCTGACATCAATGGAGATGGCACTGTTGACTTTGAAGGTAATACACTGGGCAAAAATCCAGGAGTCTCCATCCGTTCCTTCTCTACGTGCTTCTCCAAGCCACCCACTCCTTATCCTTCTCCAAGTTTGCATTAGAAGGTGTGTCCCAGTTTCATTTCTGTTGCTGTGATAAAACAGGTCTCTCATTGGCCTTTGCTCAAATAGCTTTCTCATGCAGAAACCACCTGTCCAGGGATTGATGTTGCCCACAGTGGACTGGGACCTGTTCTATCCATTAGCCAAACAGTGCCTCACAGTTATGCACACAGGCAAATCTGGTTGGGGCAGTTCTTCTTGAGGTTTCCTCTTCCCAGACAACTCTAGATTGTGTCAAGCCGATAATAACTATAAACTAGAATACTAGTATGTGTACTAGTGTACACATGTATGTGAGATCATGTCTGAGGGAGGCATAAGTTGGCTACTTCAAGTTTGAATTGTGATATTCTCTGGTTTAACGTACCCAGCACCCAGCTACTGCCTTCAGGCATGGGGCCAAAATGTGTAGTCTGTTCTCCAAGTCCATGTCTCTTTAGCCCACCCAGCCCTGTCTTCTGCAACCATGCTGTGAATTGGTTTATCCTGGGGAAACATGTTTCCTATCGCACATCCTTCAACTTCTCTTCCTTTGTAACTCATGTCCTGTCTACTTGTTGCACTTCTAAGACTTATGCATCCCACCCCAAGGACACATGTCAATCATCTTTTGCCAAGAATCTCCCCTCTCCCTTGCCTGAGTGCATTAAACCTGACTGTGAGCCTTACAGGCGTCTTTGATTTTTCTGTGGAACTTACGTTGTGTTTGTTACCATGCTTCAGGACAGCTGAGAGTCTCCTGTCCCCCTTTCCCTTTTGCTGGTGTTTGTGTGTGAGGCCAATGTACGATATCAGAGTTGTGTATTGGGGTGTCCCGTTCTATCAGTCTCCACTTTATTCCCTCTAGACAGAGGCTCTCTCTGAACCTGAAGCTAGGCCGGCAACTTGCAAGCCCCAGCAACCCTCCTCTTACCACCTCCCGCAGCACTGTTACAGGTGCACACTGCAGTGTTTAATGTGAGCACCAGGGGTCCAAGCTGAGCTTCTCATGCTTCTGCAGCAAGCACTCTTATCCATTGATCCAGCTCCCCAGGCATCGAGAAAGAACTTTTATTTAGAATTTCATTTTACATTCCAACCAAAGTTCTTCCTCCCACCCCTTCTCACTTACCCCCTGCAAGCCCACCCCATCCACTCCTCCCAACAGGCAAGGGCTTCCGTGGGGAGTTGATAAAGTCTGGCACACTAAGTTGAGGCAGGACCAAGCCCCTCCCCCATGTGTTAAGTGTGAGCATGGCATCCCCTCATAGGGAATGGGGTCTAACAAGCTAGCTCATGTATCAGGGATGGATAGATCCTGGTCCTACTGTCAGGGGCCCATCTGATAGCCCAAGCTTCACAACTGTCTACTATATATGGAGGGCCTAGTTCAGACTCACGGAGGCTCCACAGCTGTCAGTCCAGAGTTTTGAGTTTCCATGAGCTTGGTTTGGCTGTCTCTGCAGCTTTCTCTGTCATGTATTCCTTCTTCTGAGAGAGGACTTTTTAAAAGCCATGTGTGCTCTATAAGTCCTCAGATGGGAACTTAGTAAATTCGTTGGGTGCCTGCTGGCTCTTATTAGTCTCAGATATATTCTGTGCCTCAGTGAAAATAGGGAAGAGGTGAAGGTGAGGCTATCAGACGGATATTTTAGCCAACTACAAGCAAGGATACGGTGACCTCAAGACATGGAAGAGCCAGCAAATTCATCTGGCATTATGTCTAGACAAAGTAATGGGCGATCTGTTCATTCAGGGCATTCCATTCACTGTCCACTTGATCTCGAACAGACCATGGTCCCTTGCTAGCCTCTATTTCTTTTCTATAAGATGGCACCAGGAAGGTCGAAAGATAGAACAAAGACTGGAGATATAGCTCAGTAGGTAAAAGTATCTGCCTGAGTTTGGATACCTAGCAGCCATGTGGAAAAAAATTATTAAACTGGTGGGGAACAGTGGTAGATAGAGATCAGAGGTTCACTGCAGTTCCCCGGCCATCAGCTTAATAAAGAATTGATAAGGTGAGTCTGGGGAGATGGCTCAGTGATTAAGAGTGTTATCCATTCTTCCAGAGGACCCAGAACCCCTGGCAGTTCACAGCTCCAGTTCCAGAGAGATAGGTATCTATTCTCACTGGGCATGTATGTATGTGGTGCACAGGCATACACACAGGCAAAACACAAATATACATTAAAACAACAACAATTAGTGAGTCCCAGGTTTGGTGATGGGCCCATTTTCAAGGGAATGAGACGTGGAGAATTGGAGGATGACACTGGGCATCTTCCTCTGGTCTCCACATGTACATACATGAATATACCCACACACAAGAGAAAGAAATGATGGCATAAATTTCATATCTAAAATATATTTCAATAAAAGATAAAACAAATGAAACTAATAATTTCTATTTTATAAGCACTTTTAGTATGTTTTATGGATATTGTATCATATAGAGTTCAAATGATTTCCTGAAGATTGATGCCACTGCCTGCAACACAGGAAAAGCTCCCCAAAGTAACCCCAGTTGGTTTTACTAAGAGGAGCTTCACAGGACATTTTCTTTTTCAGAGTTTGTGAAGATGATGTCTCGTTGAAGAGGTAATAAGCTCCAGACACATGCTGCCTTGTCAACATGGGTCAAATGCTTATAGAGGACTGGATTCCCAGGCGCCCTTGAAGGGTGGAGGGAGGGAGTGGACTTCACCCATGGTGTGGACCTGGGTGTAACTGCCAACAGTTACTTTGCTTCTTGGGAGCAGAGACATGCATAAAAGCAAATTTAGAAGGAAGACTATGTACATAAATGTGAATCACACTAGTATCCAGCTGTCACTCAAACATTCTAGGGACTATGACATCTTTTCCCAATTCTGTGTTTCCCAGCAGATTCTCCTTCCATTTCTACCTTGGAAAAATATGGTGTGGGGAATTTTTTCACTGCTCGAAGGAAGAAAAAAAAATCTTTCAAAAATGTCCCACTCACAGCCTGCTTTCCCCCCTGGCTCCTCTAACAACAACCCCCATTTTCCTTCTCTGGGCAAGAGAGAGTCACAGGGTTATAAACAGGAACCCTGATAAGTCTTGGCTTGGAAATGCCCCTCAGGAAGGAGGAATTCAAGGTTGAGTTTTCCCAGTTTCTCAGAAGCACAGTGCATTGCTCCCCTGTAAGTACCTATGTCCCTGAGATAACCCAGAGGGACTGAGCTAAACCACTAATCTGGATTATCAAGGTTTAGAGCAAGCTGATCCCGGGGGGGAGTTAATCCCTGTAAAATATATTGAGGGGGTGGAGAGGGTAGGAAGAAGACAAGATCCCTTAAATTCCTAGCTCAGCCAGGTGACTGAAATGTGACTCCCAGAAGCCCTCTGCCCCTGTGCTGATCTGCCCTGGGCTGCTCCAGGTGAGTCTCCATCTTTGGTGGTTCGAGGACTCCATACTGACACACTGACATGGATTTGGACACTTCAGCCGCTTTATCACTCAAGATGATGACATCGTGTCATGCCTTCCTCCAAGCTTTTCTTGCTTTGAAGTCCATTGGGTAGAGCTATAGAATATGTCATCTAATCTCTGGTCGAATAACCTCAATTTATATGACTGAAATAAAGTAAAAGGAGAAGAATAATACATGTCCCCAGTCCTCTTTCCTGTGGTTGTTCTGGTTGTGTCCCCATCTGGGAACCACTTGAATTTATTTTAGCATTTTTTTCCTTTTAGTATTTAAGTAGCTGTTTTCTCTGAATTGAAACATTTCAACCCAGAGGAAAGCATGTTAAGACTCGGGAAATCCTAAATGAGGATTCTTAACACTCCGCTATGGGTCTGGAAAGATGGCGCTGTGGTTAAGAGCACTGGCTGCTGTTTTTCCAGAGGGTCCGTGTTCAATTCTCAGCACACACATGTTGGCTTATAACCATCTGTAATGTTAATTGCAGTGTATCTGGCTCCCTTTCTGGCTTCTGTGGTGCACATACATATGTGCAGGCAAAACATCCATAGACATTAAAAAATGAAGATTGAAAATATGGACTTGGCTTTCGTGGGAATGATAATCTGGAGGAAAGTAAAGTGAGAAAGTGGAATGATTATATCTGCTGAGACATGTGAAGCCTACCAGTGACTGTGTCCCCAAAAGAGAGTGATTATCCCATTGGAAACAGCCAATGGCTCTTCTAATAGTGCTGGGGCCCCAGGCACCCTGCCTCCATGTGTAGTTTTGACTGGCTTGATCTTGTGCAGGCAACCACAGCTACCTTGAGTTGACGAAGTCCACAGCCTCGCTGTATCCTGAAAGCAGAATTTCACAGCTTTCTTCCCTATCCACCAAATCTTATGTTTTTTCTGTTTTAAAGCCCCTGTCTTCCATTATATTGCCTGAGCATTGGTGGGAGATTGACACAAATGATTTAGCTCCAGCTGAGCACTCAGAGTTAGTTGTACATGGCACTTTGTCTAGTTATGGGCCTCTGTATTAATCGTTATCCACAGCATGAAGAGGTTTCTCTGACCAAAGTTGAAAATAGCTTTGGAAAAGAGAATTACCAAATAAATCTATTTATATCTACAAATATTTAAAATGCATTTTGACAACATGACCATTTTGTGAAACAACATTAAGTTTCCTTCTAGGGCCTATGATTTCCCTACCCACAGGCTTTTGACCAGGTTTACAGCATGCAGACATGACTTCTCTCCCGTGATTCAGGTTTAAATAGGCAGTCAGTAAGCAGTTGGTTACTCCCATAACTGCCATGCCACCAGCAGATCAGTATTGGAGAATTCAGTGTCCACTGCTGGGTAAAACTACTAATGCATGTCAGCATTAATTAGACTCAGAGGGTTATTAATTATAATAAAAAGGACATGAAGTTGAGGAGGGATGGGGTGGGGTCACAAGGGAGAGTTGGAGGGAGGTAGTGGTAGATGGATATGATCAGTACACACTGAATAAATGAAGCTATCAAAGAATAAGATGTGTTTTTTATAGGATAAAAATAAGACAAAACAACAACACACAGATGAAATTTAGGAAGGATAAAGAATAGCATAAGTAGAATGGCAAGAGAGGGGAGCTCATTGAAGATGGCATGTCTCAGTTTGGGTTTTCCAGGCTTTCCCTCTGTATGAGAGTAAACATGAACAGACAGAGGGTTCGTTCCAAGAGAATCAACCCTGTGAAGGAAAGGGAAAGAGAAGAAACTAGAAGAAACTAAGCTTTGGACACAGCCCTATGGAGTTGTCTCACTTGAACTGAAACAGCAGGAATCCTGAAATCTGAACTCATTCATTCCTAGTCTGTCAACTGAGAAGGACTGGGGTGGGGTGGGGGGAGAGGCCACTTTGGAGCTGAGGCTACTTCTAACTTGGGCTGGCCACAGATGACTCTACAATTGGACAAAGTTCCTTTCTTAAGAGGGGTCTTCCCAGCCTGATTCCATCCCTATCACAAGGGCGCTTCAACCATTAACAGAGGGGGATGCAGAAAAGTGGGGAGGTGTAGGGAGATGGAGGTAGACCTCTTAGCTCAAGCCAAGGCTCATAGGCTTGGGGAGTGTCTTAGTGTTTTACTGCTGTGAAGAGACACTGTGGCCATGGCAACTCTTATAAAAGAAAGCATTTAATTGGGACTTGCTTACAGTTTCAGAGGACTAGTCCATTATGAACAAAGGGGAGAGCATGGTGGCACACAGGCAGACATGGTATGGAGAAGTAGCCGAGAGTTCTACATCTAGGACACATGCAGCAGGAAGAAAGAAACTGGACTTGGAATGGAATTTTTGGAAACTTAAAGCCCACCCCCAGTGACACACTTCCTCTAACAAGACCACACCGAATCCTTTCCAATAGTTCCATTCCCTGATGACTAAGTATTCAAATATATTAGCCTTTGGGGGCCATATACTATATATTTTTTTAATCCATTCTTCAGTTGAGTGAAATCTAGCTTGTTTCCAGATTCTGGCTATTACGAATAAAGCTGCCATGCACGTAGTTGAACAAGTGTCCTTGTGGTATGATTGAGAATCCTTTGGGTATATGACCAAGAGTGAAATTGCTGAGTCTCGAAGTATACTGGTTCCCAATTTTCTGAGAAACCATCGTATTGATTTCTGAAGTGGCTGTACAAGTTTTCGCTACCACCAGCAATGGAGGAGTGTTCTCCTTACTCCACATCCTTTCCAGCATATACTGTCATTTGTGTTTTGTTTTAGTCATTCCTTCATTTCTGTTGGGGGGCGGGGGATGTAGGGAAGACGGCAGTTCTTCCATGGATATCAACAAAACACGGCATATCAAGTTTCAGTAAGACTAAGCACCTCCCCATGTATTTAGGCTGGTCAAGGTGTCCCAGTATGAGGAGTAGGGCTCTAAAAGCCAGCAAGAATTAGAGGCAGCCTCTGCTCCCACTGTTAGGAGTCCCACAAGAGGACCAAGCTATACAACTGTGACTTATATGCCGGGGGCCTAAGTCAGTTCCATTTAGACTCCCTGGTTGTCAGTTCAGTCTCTATGAGCCACTGTGAGCCCAGGTTAGTTGACTCTGGGTTTTCTTGTGTCCTTGACCCCTCTGGCTTCTATAATCCTTTCTCCCAGGCTTCTGCAGGATTCCCCAAGCTCCACCTAATGTTTGGCTGTGAGTCTGCATATGTTTCTAGCTGGATGAAGTCTCTCTGATTACAACTGGGCTAGGTGCCAATCTATAAGAACAGCTGTATAGAGTTAGGCATCATTACTTTGGCTTCTTTTTTTCTCCAGTCATGTTTGGTTCTATTCTAGGCCATTGGGCCATCCAGCCTGTGGATCCTAGTGCTCCAGGCATTGTCAAGGGTGGGCTTATTCTTCTGGCATGGGTTTTAGGCTAGAGCAGTCATTGGTTAGCCACTCCCTCAATCTCTAGGCTACCCTTACTCCAACACATACCATAGGCAGGGAAGACTGTAGGTCGAAGGTTATGTGGCTCCATTTGAAGTCTTGCCTGGTCACAGGTGATGGCCATTTAAGGCTACATATCTTCAATTGCCAGGAGTCTTAGCTAGGGGTCATTCTTGTAGGTTCCTCAGAGATTCCCTTGTGCCAGAGTTTCACCTGACCCCATTATGTCCCCCCTTCCCAGTAGTCTCTTTCAGTACTCTCCCTCTCCACCCCTGCCCCAATCTAATTGTTCATATTCTCATTCCCATCTGCCACTCACAAAATCTCTTCTAGTTCCACTTTCGGGAGAACCGTGTATCCCCCCTTGAACTCTCCTTGTTACTTGGCCTCTCTAGGTCTGTGGACTACAGCATAGTTGCCTTTTGTTTTACAGATAATATCCACTTGTACATGAGTTCATACCATATTTATCTTTCAGGCTAGCTTTCTTATATAGCCAAGGACCACCTGCATTGGGATGGCACTGTGTGCTGGGCTCTCTTGCATCAATTAACAATCAAGACCTTCCTCCACAGATATTCCCACAGGCCAATCTGATCTAGTTAATTCCTCAGATGAGATTCCTTTCTTATAGGCGACACTCAATTGTGTCAAATTGACAATTAAAGCTCACTACGGAATGTTTCAGATCCAACAAAGGTAAATAAGGTATACTGTTCC